CCATCCCCTGAACTTTCCTATCCCTACCAGTCCAATCCATGTCCAGAGGACTTGGGAGTCTCGGCGCTGGTCCAGTAGGGAGTCTGTTTGGTTATGACAAACTGGGAATGTCTCCGCTTCTTACCTGCTCCACAAATGAGCACTATCCAGGTCTAAGTGTCAATGGCAGGAGAACCGAGCTGATGGAAATGGGTCCCAGAGAAGGCCCCGGTGCAGCTCCACAGTCTGCACCAAGGGTAGGTCCATCGCTGTGTGATCTGGTGGAGCTCTTTGCCGAGGTTCTTCCTATATTGTATAATAATGATGAAACGGTCCCTATGTACAGCGGACGTGGTCCTTCAGCTCAACTATCTCAGTAAGCTTCATCTCTGTGGCCCCTCGGTGTTTGAAAATCTGACCTTGTGATCTTGTCCCTAACGGCAACAAGTCCCATTTATTTTTTTCTAAGTGGCCGAGTTGGTGGGCGGGTCGGCTTTGTGTCCAGGAACTTAATAATGAAGTCTGGGACCAGATTTAGCATTTGAGGACGAGATTTACGGCCCCACAATTGCCTTTTTATTCCTCCCCGTTTTATTGCTTTCATCCCAGGGAATGAGGAGAGGGCTCTTCAGGGTCCCAGTCTGCTTTTTGATGTTTGATGTGTTCACAAGCTGCCCTACAGACAGAAAATATGAGTTCCAGGGGGTGCCCTACAGGGTTCTGAAGGGGGGAGGGGGTCCCCTACATGCTTCTGAAGGGGGAGCTGCCCTACATGCTTCTGAAGGGGGAAGGGGTCCCCTACATGCTTCTGAAGGGGGAAGGGGTCCCCTACATGCTTCTGAAGGGGGAAGGGGTCCCCTACATGCTTCTGAAGGGGGAAGGGGTGCCCTACATGCTTCTGAAGGGGGAAGGGGTGCCCTACATGCTTCTGAAGGGGGAAGGGGTGCCCTACATGCTTCTGAAGGGGGAAGGGGTGCCCTACATGCTTCTGAAGGGGGAAGGGGTGCCCTACATGCTTCTGAAGGGGGAAGGGGTGCCCTACATGCTTCTGAAGGGGGAAGGGGTGCCCTACATGCTTCTGAAGGGGGAAGAGGTGCCCTACATGCTTCTGAAGGGGGAAGAGGTGCCCTACATGCTTCTGAAGGGGGAAGGGGTGCCCTACATGCTTCTGAAGGGGGAAGGGGTGCCCTACATGCTTCTGAAGGGGGAAGGGGTGCCCTACATGCTTCTGAAGGGGGAAGGGGTGCCCTACATGCTTCTGAAGGGGGAAGGGGTGCCCTACATGCTTCTGAAGGGGGAAGGGGTGCCCTACATGCTTCTGAAGGGGGAAGGGGTGCCCTACATGCTTCTGAAGGGGGAAGGGGTGCCCTACATGCTTCTGAAGGGGGAAGGGGTGCCCTACATGCTTCTGAAGGGGGAAGGGGTGCCCTACATGCTTCTGAAGGGGGAAGGGGTGCCCTACATGCTTCTGAAGGGGGAAGGGGTGCCCTACATGCTTCTGAAGGGGGAAGGGGTGCCCTACATGCTTCTGAAGGGGGAAGGGGTGCCCTACATGCTTCTGAAGGGGGAAGGGGTGCCCTACATGCTTCTGAAGGGGGAAGGGGTGCCCTACATGCTTCTGAAGGGGGAAGGGGTGCCCTACATGCTTCTGAAGGGGGAAGGGGTGCCCTACATGCTTCTGAAGGGGGAAGGGGTGCCC